GGGAGCCATTTTTATTCTCAGCCGGCCAGACCATTTTTGCAATTTTTCACCTCCTGACCCCTTTCACCCCCAAATATTTCCCTTTATGAAATAGAAAAAGAGAGATTGGGGGCACAGAGTTCTCAGTCTTTATCTCAGCAGCCTCGGCACTCCATGAACAGGAAGCGGCTCGGTACAGAGGCTTTCCGGCTCATTCACAAACTGAGGAGCTTGTGTGTGTGTTATGTTCCCCCAGTCATGATTGAACAGGAAGTCTTGTGCAGCACTTCCTGTTCATTCATAACTGGGGAGATGGTAAACACTTACCATGCCCTCGGTTATTTACAAACATTGAGCTGATCACTACTGAGCCGCTGTGCCCCACTCAGCCAGCTGGAAACATTTTTGTCCCGCTGTATGCCTTGCGTTGTTGCTGTAAACTCCCGGGGGGGCAGCAGCTGGAAGGCCCTGGTTACATCTCTAGTGCCATGGAAAAGGGGAAAGGTGAAGACATTTATAACTGGAACGTCTTTACAGTTCAGTGGGCAGAGTTGCATGCCCCTGTATTTTTTTTTTTTAGGCTTGGGGTGAGAGGTTTACTTTAACTGTTGCAAGCTGAGGACAGGTAGGTGACCGAGTTGCATTGCATAACCGCAGTGGAGAAAAGTCAGGTCACCAGGCTGGCTGGCAGGGCTGTGTAAATCTCAGGACTGGATGGGCAGAGATGCGAATCCTTTGGTAGGTAAAATATAGACCATATACATATATAAAGTTCATCTGCTCGCCTATTACAGCCGACCGCTTCACACTTGGCGGTGCTCCTGAGAGCGCACCACGCATCTCTTCCTGACGCCTTCCATTCTGTGTTTTTCTGACATTTTGTTTTTCCCTCTCCTGAAGGTGAACTTGAATACGATCCGCAGATGTATCCTCATCAATTATAACGAGGACTCCCAGACGCTGGACTTCAGACATTAGTAAGCGCCCTGAGATCTCCTCCATGCAGTTATCAGTCTGGGGAGTCGGTCACATGTTGCCCCATGCGTGGAAGGATTTGTCCCAATGGATGAACGGAGTCTGGGGGAGGACGGAGTCTGGGGGAGGACGGAGTCTGGGGGAGGACGGAGTCTGGGGGAGGACGGAGTCTGGGGGAGGACGGAGTCTGGGGGAGGACGGCAGCTGAGTGAACGCGCTGCTTTGCTCTGCATATGGAAAACGCAGGTTCATTTTAGCTAAGTGCTTCTATAGGACAAAGGAGAAGCTGCTGCATTTCTGGCTGACGGTGTACGCAAGGCAAACCGTGATCATCAATCATTTGTATATAGTATTGCTGTTGTGAAGTCTGTTATACCAAATACACTTCCTTTTAGATCAGGGGTCTCAAATGATCTGGGGGCCACTGGGCACATGATTTTTTTTTTTCTGGGTGAGAAACAAAATTTAGGATTTTTGTACTCTCCTTAAAATCCATTTCTTGGAGCCCATTGAGGGACACACAGGTCCCACCACTCTGTGTTTATGATCGTGCGCTCCAAAACTAAGGCATGCTGTCCAGTCCCTCCTGTAGGTGGCAGTATAACCCAAAAGTCAAAGAATTCCTGTGTCCCTCCAATGCACTCCAAGAAAAGGATTTTGCCGCGCACAGCCTGGTAGAACTCCGTTCATTTTTTGCTGCAGTCTTTGGCCCCATTGGGATGATCTCCAACTTGTATGGTCACTCGGAAGGTGTTGGCGTTTTTCTTTTGTTTTTGTAGACTTAAGATCTGAATTCCCTTTGTTTCCACAGCAGTTTGAAGGTGGTTCCGGTAGGAATGAGCAAAGGTGTAAAGAAGCTTCTGCAGGAGAAGTTTCCCAATATGAATCGCTGGGAGGACATCAGTGAGCTGCTGGTCAAGTGAGTGTCTGGAAGCGGTTGGATGTCTTCATCTACCGGGGGCCACTGCTTATGGAGCATCCTTCCAATATCTACCCAATGCTTAATTCTCAGGGAGCCCCCCCCCGCTAAATCAAATTCATGGGGGTCCTTTTGGGGAAAATGGCCTATTATATTGGTGGCTGGAACAGAGGGGGCGGGTACAGCCTCTAGATAGGCAGAGCCCGCTGTCACTCACGCAGCTGGGCGGATCCTGACAGAATTGTCGGGATCTGCTGCTGCGGCGGTCTCGGTATCCCGCGAGCTGTAGCTCCCTATATACTGAGCTTAGGGTGACGGGAGGACGCTAGTTTGTGTCCTCCCATTACCCTAAGGAGAACTATGGGGAAAAACACTGACCCCATAGTTCTCCTTTAATATACCGGGGGCCAATGCTTAATTCTCAGGGAGCCCCCGCTAAAACAAATTCATGGGGGTCCTTTTGGGGAAAATGGCCTATTACATTGGTGGCCAGTGGGGAACAGTGCCGCCATTGCAGTGGGAGTCATAACGTCGGCCTTGCGTACACAAATAAATAGTTGGTGTTATACGGCTGGCTGTGCCGAGTGGCGATGGCCCTGAAACTATGCAGACGCCGTCAAATGGGAGGCGAGCCAGCCACAGCTCGAGGAACCCCCTTTAAAGGAGAACTATGAGGGGCGTGATTTTCACTCAGCCTCATAATCTGAGCCGACGTGTGACAATGAGACTGTCACAGGTCGGCTCAGTAGATCGGGAAGTGAGGGAACGCATACCGGCGCTCGCTCAATTCTCGATCCTCCAGCGCTGACTGGCGGAACGGACGGGGGAGGGAGTTGCAATTATTGGCTGTCAAAATGGCAGCTGACAATTGTTTTGCTTACACAGAGAGAGCAACTAATAAAATGTACAATACTTTAAAGGAGAACTATGAGGGGGGGAGGGGCTTGTCACTCAACTCATAGTTCTAGCCGACCTGTGACAATGAGACGGGCACAGGTCGGCTGAGTAGATCGGGAGGTGAGCGAACGCATCCCGGCGGGTCGTTCCCCTCTCGATCCTGTCACGGCTCTCTGCCGCGACAGGGGAGGGGCTGGATTCCCCCCTCCCCGCTCCGCCAGCGCTGACTGGCGGAACGGACGGGGGAGGGGGCGGGTACAGCTGGCTCTGCCTCTAGATAGGCGGAGCCAGCTGTCACTCACGCAGCTGGGCGGATCCAGACATAATTGTCGGGATCCGCTCCGGCTGCGGCGTCTCAGTAAACCGCGAGCTGCAGCTCCCTATATACTGAGCTTAGGGTGACGGGAGGACGCTAGTTTGTGTCCTCCCGTTACCCTAAGGAGAGCTATGGGGAAAAGCCCTGACCCCATAGTTCTCCTTTTAATATACCGGGGGCCACTGCTTATGGAGCATCCTTCCTCAAACATCTACGCAATGCTTAATTCTCAGGGAGCCCCCGGTAAAACAAATTCATGGGGGTCCTTTAGGGAAAATGGCCTATTGCATTGGTGGCCAGTGGGGACCAGTGCCGCCATTGCAAGGGGGAGTCATAACGTCAGCCTTACATACAGAAAAAAATGGTGTTATACGGCTCACCGTGCATTTGCCTCTGGAAGTCAGTCAGCCGCAGCCATTACTTGCAATGCCTTATGGAACTTGTAGTTCCACAACAGCATGCCGAAGTTTGTCTACCCCCCGGAGTAGAGCAGCGAATGACGGGGTGCACCGCGAGATGGAGCCACGCAAAGGTTTCCGGTGATTTTAAAACATTGTTTTTGCCTTTTTCAGAGGAGCCAACCTCTCTGAGAGCGAGGCGGAGCAGGATGGGGACCACAACATCACGGAGCTGCCCCAGGCCTATGCCGGCAGGGGCAACATGAAGTCCCAACAGAGCGCCGTGCGTCTGACTGAGGTCAGGAGATCCGTCTGTCTGCCTAATGGAGAGCCATTCAAGTGAAGTGTCTGTAATCGTTCTTCTCTCTCTGCCACAGATTGGACCCCGGCTGACGCTGCAACTGGTAAAGATAGAGGAGGGCTTGGGTGACGGCAAAGTCTTGTATCACAGCTTCGGTGAGTGAGACGTGTGCTCTGCCTTTTAAAAGATGAAATGCCTTTGTGTTTGAACCCCTTTTCTGAAACGACTGCGGCGGTGGCAGAGACTAGGGATGCACCAATACCGGTATTTGTTTTCCGGTACTCGCCGATACCGAATACCGATACCGGAAGTCCCATTAAGGAAGCCGGGCGGCGTGTGATGACTCGCCACCCGGCTTCCTGATTAGCATGGAGCCGGCTTTCTGGCCGATCGGGAAGCCGGGTGTCGTGTAATGACTCGTTGCCCAGCTTCCTGATTGGTCTAGAAGCAGACCAATCAGGAAGCCGTGCAACGAGTCATTACTCAGCGCCCGGCTTCCCGATTGGCCAGGAAGCCGGCCCCATGCTGCCTCATCACCAGGTGAAGAGGGAGCATGAAGCCGGCTTTCTGGAAGATCAGAAAGCCGGGGGGTGGGTAATGACTTGCCATGCGGCTTCCTGAATGGCCAGCTTCCCGACCAATCGGGAAGCCAGGCGGCGAGTCATTAAAACGCTGACCAGCTTCCTGATTTGGCCGGGAAGCCGGCTCCATGCTCCCTCGTCACAAGTGGAGCATAGTCCTGATTGTCCAGAAAGCCGGCTTCCTGATACCGGAAGCACTAGGTGACGAGAAAGCACGGAGCCGGCTTGCTGGCCAATCATGGAAGCCGGGTGCCGTGTAATGACGCGGCTTACAGATTGGCCAGGAAGCCGTCTTCATGCTCCCTCGTCGCCTCATGACGAGGGAGCATGAAGCCGACTGCCCCGGCCAATCGGAAAGCCGGGGGCGCTGCGTCAATACATGGCGTCCTGATTGGCCGGCTTCCCGACCAACCAGGAAGCCGGGCAGCGTGTCATCACAAGTGACGAGAGAGCTTCCTGATACAGGAAGTATCGGGCTAGGCATCGGAGCATTTGGACGAGTATGAGTACCCGCCCAAATACTCGGTATCGGCAGCGGTATCGGTACTAGTATCGGTGCATCCCCAGCAGTAACCCAATGTAAACCAAATCATGGCCGCAGTTGCAGTCATTAGTTCACGTTGTAATCGGCTGCCAGGTATAGTCTAGAAGCAATTCTCCAGCTAGATAGCCGCCCCGACCGCTTGTATGTTGCCTTCTCGTGTTCCGTGCCCGCTCTCCTCACCGGAATGTTCCTCCATCTGTCCTGTGAAGTATAAACCTGGAAGCACCTCCAGCTTCAGATCTGTCCGTTCCCGGCTAGAAGAGGCGGTTGAAGCAGTGGATAAGAATGTGACGGTCAGGTGGAGGTGGGATCGGCTTCCCCGAAGAGGTGAGTCTTAAGGGATCGCCTAAAGGCAGTCAGGGTGGGAGATAGACGGACAGGTTGGGGTAAAGAGTTCCAGAGGATGGGAGAGACTCCTGGAAAACGATTCATCTCTTCAGGGAAGCCGATCCACCTCAACCTGACCGCTCAACCATCACGTTCTCGGACAATTCATCCCCCACACAGCTCCCTCCTCATGTATCACTGGCCCCTCCCCTTTCAGATTGTAAGCCCTCAGGGGCGGGGCCCTCCTCACCATCTCGTCTTGAATTGTAATCTCTTCCTTTACATTGTAAAGCGCTGCGCACACTGTTGGCGCTCTATAAATCCTATGTAATAATATAAATGTATTTGGTGTGTGCGGAGAGATTTCCATTCTTCGGGATCGGCCTCGTTTGTGAATTTGCGGCAAATATTTTGTGACTGTTTTTTTGCTCTTAGTAAAAAAGACGGAGGAGGAGATCCTGGCCATGCTGAGTCGCAAAGAGAAGAAGCTGAAGCTGAAGAACGCGCGGAAGCAAAAACAAGAGCAGAATGTGCAGAAAAAGCAGCAGGAGAAGGAGGAGAACAAGTGCGTCATGTGATCTCTTGCGTTGTGAAGATGGGCGGGGCCTCTGGTGGTTGTGGGCGCAATGCCGTCACCAACTCCAACTATCACCCTGCCGAGCGCTTCGGGATCCGCTATTTGCACGTGCAGGAGACTCGGGCCCCATTCACACTGAGCGATTGGCAAATCGCGCGTTTGTCGCGCGAATGCTTGGCATTGAGCAAGCTAGGATTGCGGCAAAATCCGCTCCAAAAAAAGGGTCCTGCTGTAGCGACGCGCGACAGCGGCGGACCTAGCCCCATCGCCAAGCATTGGAGAGCGATATCGCGCGGTTAAATAAGCCGCGATGTCGCGGGATAAAATCGCTCAGTGTGAACGGGGCCTTAACCTCCATGGCGGTATTCCCGAGGGGGGGTGGGGGTTAATTTTTAGTACCGTAAGCGGTAAACCCCCCCCCGAGCCACACTGGGGGATTCCGGCGTAGCGTTACTTACCTTGTCCCTCGAGCCGCGCTGTGCCCTCCGGCCGATGCCGTCTTCTGGGCTCCATCCCTTGCAAGGGGGCGGAGCCGGTGGGAAGTTTAAAAGTAAATATAAGGGGGGGGGAAATAAATAATCAGACCGCCAGGGAGCCAAAAAAAAACACTGTGCAGGGGTTGCTGAGCAGAGTTGTTGGATAATTCGCTTCCAGCTCCAGTCTGTCGGGGGGTCGTGCAGGTAACGTCCAGAGGAAGCAAAGGCGAGGTGACTTTAGTGCTGGCTGCAACTCTCCCCCCATAAGAATACCCCAAATGGGGCTTCAGCTGGGGGTGGAGCTGCTGACAGCGCTGACCAAACATTGCATTTTATTTGAAAACCACTGCACAGATTTGCATGGAAAAGTGTGATGTGCAATAGGTTTTCTGGAGGGTTTTAACTACTCAGTGCTGTGATGGGCCAAAAATAAACATCCAGAAATAAGTGTCCACCTACCCAACGCTTTTATACAATACGGCCGCTGTAAGGTGGTCAAAGAGTACTGAGTGAAGCCTGGTGGTGCCCTAACATTCCCCTACATTTACACCCCCCACCGTACCAGGAACATACCCCAAAATGTATACTCCCCCCAATA